CCCTAGGCCCCCCTAATATTTTTAATGAATTTTCAATTATGGGCCCGAAACCGCAAAATCCCGGGGGCCGGCAGTTTTATTATTAGGGGGGGTTTAATAAACGTGGGAAGCGATTAAGCCCTGGGCTCCGACACTTGAAACCCTCAAACCCTAAAGAACAACCTAATGTAGGGGCCTCAATAATGAGAATAAGGTTTTGGGTGTTCCTTATTAGAATATAGGTATAATATACCCCCTTTTGGGGGCTCCTCATTAGAATATAGGCATAATATACCCCCCAAAACCAAACCCTATTCTACTTATTAAGGCCCCTAAACCCTAAACCTTTATAGTAGCCTTATTATAATATAAGTATAATATACACACCAAAACCAAACCCTATTCTAATTATTAAGGCCCCTACATTTTATAATGTATACCTCCAAACCCTATTCTACTTATTAAGGCCCCTACACTACTAGTCTTGCAACGACAGACCAGGCCTGCCCTCCGCGTCGGTGTTGTTCACCTGGCCCACATTGCGTCTACGGCGTTGCAGGGTTCAGGGCAGTTCTGCGCGAACGTTTTGGGGTTGAGGGTGTAATGTAGTTTGCTTGATATCTAGAGTAGGGTTTTGGTGTATATTGTGTTATAAATATGACAAGGAACCCCCAAAATGACATAGGCGATGATTAAGGCCCCTATAACAGGGATATCTAAGGTCAAGCGCTCGGAGTTTAGGGCCCTTTTCTGCATTGTAGGGTTTAGGGTTTAGGGTTTAGGGTTTAGGGTTTAGGGTTTATTTACAGGCTCGCCAGTTCAGGGTCTTGAAGCTCTACGAGTAGTTGAAGCTTTTCGGCTTCAACTTAGCGCTCTTGGAGGTTCTTGGCTTGTACGCCTTCAAGTTGCAGGCTTCTCAAGGGGTTGAGGGTTCAGGGTGTCGGGTTTATTTAGGGTTTAGGGTTTAGGGTTTAATTTAGGGTTTAGGGTTTAGGGTGTAATTTATGTTTTAGGGTTGGGGGTTTAAATCAGGGTTTAGGGTTTAGTTTAGGGTTTAGGGAAGGCTACGGATTACGGATTTCGGATCACAGTCTTCCACAAACATGACTTAGCCCCCAATCCTAATTGCGAACCCGGCATCACCGGAAGCAATACACCTTCACGTCAGAGCCGCACCCTAAACCCACCCTAGACCCCTCCACCCCAAACCCGCAAAGCTAAAATCCTAAACCCCTCCAAGCCCCTGTGTGCCTCGATGGTCGTTCCATCCATGGCGGTAATGATATCACCTGGATGCAGCGCACCTGAGTCCAGAACCGAAGCCGCGTTCTCCATCTGCAAACTTTGGGCAAACTATGTCGGAATCTTCGTATAATCAAGATCGTACTATTTGAGGTCTTCCTTGGGGGTAGTTTATTTGTGGTTCCTGATGATAGATGGCGAGGTCTAGCTAGCTAGCTGCAGCTAGCTAGGTGGATAGGCAGATAGGTAGATACATAAAAAGACAAGCACGCGAACAGACAGAAAGATAGATAGAAATGTAGATACACGAAGAAATGCATGCACCCATCCAGGCGGGTGCACTAGTCACGTACTCACTGGGCTACTTCCTCACATGAACAGGCGTGTGTGAAACACAAACGAACCCGCTTACACTTCCTAACTAGAAATCGCTGCACAGAACCTCCAACAACTAAATGTTTCTGCAATCTAAACCCTAAACCCGAACCCGTTAAATCAAGCCCTTCGCTCATTTCTGCATCTGTCACTTTAGCCTACATCCAGAACCCTGGATATGAAATAATCAAACCAGAACCCTACCAGCCTGAGGCCTAAACCCCAACCCGCAGTAAGCTCGAAACCCAACTTCAACCTCTTAAGCCTGAACCCTGAATCCTTCCAAAACCCTCATCTTGCGGCTTAAATGATTAGAACAAACGTTCTGGGGGATATTATACTTTTCGTCATTATGCAAGGAAAGTAAGGCGAGAGTAGTACTACTGAGCATTTACGCCCGCAGGTCCAGTTAACCCCAACCCTTGGAATTGGCGACCTGGATTGCCACTGACCATGTTCTCACAGGTCGCGATCACAAAATGCACCTCAACATCCTGGCGGAGTACGATTCGGGGTTTTAGAGGCTTTAGAGTTTAGGGTTTAGGGGTTAGGTTTCGGACCCTAAACCCTAAACCGCTTAAGGGGCTTAGGGGTCTCTGGGTGTCGGGTTCGGGTGCTTCATGGCCGCCAAGATTCTGTTCTGCAATGTCTCCCTCCTTCCCCCCTAAACCCTAAACCCTAAACCCTAAACCCTGAACCCTAAACCCTGAACCCTACACTGCCCTAAACCCTAAACCCGGAACCCTGGACGCCCAAGCCCGGATTCCCTGACCCCTCCCTTGCAGAACTTGTATGAGAACCCCCAGATGAGCCCTGCAATTACTTGAATTCGTGTACTTCATGTCGGGGGCCTTGATAATTAGAGAAGGGTTTAGGGTCTAGGGTTTAGGGTTTAGGGTTTAGGGTTTAGGGTTTAGGGTTTTGGGGGTTCCTTATGATAATTCGAGTATAGTATTAACCCCAAACCCCTATTCTAATTATTAAGGCCCCTACATTGGAGACCCAACCTCCAAACTCGAATCTGCGAGGTGAACTGCAGGCCGTAAAGGCTTACGACACCCGGAAATCCGACCTGTCTGCACTTTTAGGGTTTAGGGTTTTTTAGGGTTTAGGGTTTGGGGCTTAGGGCTTGGAGTTGTTTAGGGTTTGGGGCCTACCATAAGGGTCCAAGGTTTAGAAGAAAATCCTAAACCCTAAACAATGAACCCTAAACACTAACCCACCATACCCTAAACCCTAAACCCGAAACCCGAAACCCGAAACCCAAACCCTAAGCCAAGAACAACCACAGATCGAGTCTTGCCTTGGGCTTCAGCTGCGCCACGGCTGCAGCGGCCCCCAACGTGCTCGCAGAGCCACCTCGGGCACAAGCAGCCGCGAGATTCGCGATTGGGGTAAGTGTTTTGTAAAGGCTTCTATGAGGCTCTAAGAAACCTTAAACCCTAAACATTAAATTAAGGTGAGCATTAATAAGGGCTTAATTAGAGGGTTCTAGTGGTATATGGGGCCTAAATCAATGAGGTTTTTTCGGGGGGCTCCTCTATCCTTGAACCTCAGCGAAGAAGCACGACCCGAGAGGTCTAAAAGGTTACGTTTTAGGGTGCCCACCTTGGCTTGCCATGGGACCGGCTCAGTTTATGGATACTGTAAAGGCACTGCAAGGTTTTCTACAAGAAATTCCATGGGGATTTCGGTGCTCCGCGTTTGGAAACCCTAAACCCTAAACCCTAAACCCTAAACCCTAAACCCTAAACCCTAAACCCTGAACCCTTTCGGGAGACGTTCAGGGGCTTATAGTCTACGGCCTAGGGCCTCAACCAAACCTGCAGTCGTTTAAAGGACCCCCCAAATGACTTAAACATAGCAGACTAACTAAGTACATACACCGTTCCTCAGGGCTCCTTGATATAGTTATACTATAAGTATGAAGGAGCCCAAAACCGTATTCTGATGATTGAGGCTCCTATATTACTCCGCGAGCTCTGAGTTCTCAAACCTCACGTGCCAAACCCATCTCACCAGAGCTGTAATCCCCAAACCCCTAGAAGGGACCCCTAATCCAAATACCCCTATACAACCCTTCTATACCCCTTATATGGTCTCACAAAGCCCCTATAGAACCCCAAGGGGGTCTTTAAGGGTCCCTCCTTTGTTCCGCTGAGTTTAGGGTTGGTTTCCGAGAAGAACCCTGGCCCTTCCACCACAGACTCGAAATGAATCACCGGCTCAGGTTCTGCGATTGAGGGTTTAGGGTTTAGGGTTTAGGGTTCTTAGGATTCAGGGTTCAGGACTTGGGTCTGCGATTCAGGGGTTCTTAGGATCCAGGGCTCAGAGCTTAGGTTTGATATTCACGTTCTTAAGTTTGAGGGTCAAGGGGGTTGTTGGCGCTAGGGGGTTTAGGGTTCGGAGGGCCTGGGACTCGCCTACTCTGGGGTTAGGGTTTAGGATTTAGGGTTTAGGGTTTAGGGTTTAGGGTTTTGGGATTTAGGGTTTAGGGTTTAGGGTTCAGGGTTTTGGGTTTAGAGTTTAGGGTGTTGGGTGTTGGGAACTTAAAGCCGTGATCGTCAGCCTAGACCAGAAAGGGCTCAGGGTTGGGTACACGAGCCGCCGAGTGTTCCTGCCGGGGAGCCTTTCAACTGCAAGCACCTTTGATGGTAAAGGAACCCCAAAACCCAAAGCCCTAAACACCCTAAACCCCAAGTGCTAAACCCACCCTGGGCCCCAAAACCTAAACCCTAAAACCTAAACCCTAAACTCTACATCACTCGACCCGGAACTTCGACGACGGTAGTCCTACTAGTCGCGTGCACCCCTCTCATCCTGAAGAAACAAGCCCCGACTTTCTGCCAGGCCACCCATGTCGAACTTCATCATCTCAATCATCGATCCTCACCGGTTCAGAATTACCGTAAGGGGTTTAGGGTTTAGGGTTTGAGCCCCAGCAAGACCAAAATCCGTAAACAAACCTGAGAGGACGTTAAACCGTAAACACCTTAACCTGAACCCGAAATTCTAAACCGCGTTATGTAGGCCATAAGAGCAACGCAACACAAACAGATTAGAAGGCGGAAGGTGTCAGAGGAAAAGCTCGGTGACTTCCGAGGACCTTGAACCTTGAGTATAGAGTGTACGGTTATGGCTTTAGCTCCCTTCTTCAACAACCAGGCCCAAAAAAGTTCAAACTGTTTAGGATAGACCTAATATAGGGCCAAAATGGCCAAAAAGTTAAAGTTCTCCCATTGGCTATCTAAGTTAGGGTTTAGGACTTCAGGTTTCCCGGCGTCGGCTTAGGTTCACTAAGGCTCGGTATAGGGTTTAGGGTTTAGGGGGTTTAGGGGGTTTAGGGTTTAGGGTTTAGGGTTTAGGGTTTAGGGGGTTTAGGGTTTAGGGTTTAGGGAGCCCCGAAGCATCCCTAACACGCAGAGCCTTAGGCGCTTTACGGAAGTTTTTGGCCCTTAGGGTTCATGGATGGTTTAGGGTTTAAGGCTTTAGGGTTTAGGGTTTAGGATTTAGGGTTTAGGGTGGTTGCGCAGTGCTTAACTCCGAAGAGCCTCGAACAGAACGCATCACCAAAAAAAAAGGCTCACCTGTTACACGAAAGCTGCAAGCCACTAAGGACAACACATGGCTGATAGTTGATGTGCAGCAATTGAAATGAGTATGCTGTTTGACAACTGCAGCAGGTAACATGACTCCAGATACACCGAATGTAGGGGCCTTAATAATTAGAATAGGGCTTTGAGGCCCAACATACTATAATTATAATGAGGAGCTCCACAAAATAGTATAGGCAATTCTGTAGACCCTATATCAACCACAGCTTCGAGACTCTAGCTCTGCGAGGCTGTCGGCTTCTCAGGCGACTCGGAGGACTCGGATCTCTCACCACAGTCATCAGGCGGCAGAAGCTCGCTTTCTTCTGAATCCAGCTGGCCGACATAACCCGACGCCACCTAAACCCTAAACCCTAAACCCTAAACACTCACTAGAAGGCTTCGGAAACCATGGCAGCTAGCCGGTTCATTGCAGGCCGCGTCTTCAAGCTGGAATTTAATTTAGGGTTTAGGGTTTAGGGTTCAGGGTTTAGGGTTTCGGGTTTAGAGTTTAGGGTTTCGGGCTTCGGGTTTAGAGTTTAGGGTTTAGGGTTTGGGGTTTAGGGATTGATTAGGGTTTAGGGATTATTGAGCCGCTCCCCGACCTTCGAGCACAATGCTGACGAGTCAACATGGTCCGGAGGATGGCTCAGCTGCACAGCAAATAAATGAACAAATCCACGGTGCAAGAGGGCTTATATATATATATATATATATTTTTTTTGTTTGTTAGGGGTTTAGGGTTTAGGGTTTAGAGTTTAGGGTTTAGGGTTATATATATATATATATATTTAAGTGGGGGCGTGCTTTAACTCCAGACTCCACGCACTAGCCTTGTAGGCTACCACTCAGTGAAACAAAAACTCAGCTATCCGCTTATAGGGTTTAGGGCTTTATGCAGCAACCCAAATCTAGGCCTCGCCATCTTGATAAGTAGTTCCCACAACCCTTATTAATTGGGGCCCCTAAATTAAACCCCTTAACCTTGAAATCCCGGTAGAACCTTCTGCAGAGACCTGTCAGCAGCCCCTGCCATGCTGGTAGTTTCAGAGCCACTCTAAAACCTGAGCCCTCAACCCTAAACCCCAAACTGCTTTCAATTAAAGACACTCCAAAACCCTAAACCCGAAACCCTAAACCCTAAAAACCTAAACCCTAAAACCCTAAAGCCTATAAACCCGACACCCGAAACCATAAGCCCTAAACCCTAAACCCGACACCCTAAACCCTGAACCCGAAACCCGAAACCCTAAAACCCACTTCCGAATTCTGGAGCCTCCGCCGGCTTTCAGATTGTAGCCACCAGAGTCGAAGGTGAGTCCTGAAACAAGTCGCATCGAACATAGGCTATTCGCTTGTTGGGCTTTGGGCTTTGGGGTTTAGGATTTAGGGTTTAGGATAGCCCTTAGCCTCAAAATAGCCCCAAAGCCTTTTATAATAGGGTCTTGGGGTCCAAAAGCCTTGAAATATGATCCCCTTGAAAGTAAGGGTAGGCTTTGGGGTTTTGGGCTTAGGCTCAACTTCTTTCGATGCTTTAGGGTTGAGGTTTTTCGGCTTCACAGGGTTTTGTGAGTAGTGAAACAGGTCTTAGTTAACACAGGGATTTGATCGCCGGTTGCAAGGGTTCCGTAGGCCTTCATCACCACATGGCGTCCTGGGATGTAGTATAGTCTTTTACAGGGTTGCTGTGATATACTGCCTTTGCTCCACAAGGCATTTAGAATTCCAGGATGTGCAGTCTTATAATGATTATCTAGTTGTATAGAGGCCTGAGCAGGGTCTTGCAGTATGTTGCAGTGTATTTCTGCAAGGACATACAAGGCAAAAAAGAGCACCTTGGTACATGTCTTCAGGCCCCGGGACTAGGATGGAGGATCTCTGCCAGGAGGTCTGAGGGTTGCACGTTGTTGTTATGAGGCTTGCAGCGGTGCCGTACGCTTGCCTGAGCATTGTATATGGTGCAGGGTCTGCAGGACTTCGGGTGTTGCGGTTCGGGGTGTATGGCTATAGGGTATGAGGGCTTCCGAGGCTTAGAAGATAGGCGAAGATGTCAACACATACGTCATACCTGCTTACACAGACCAGTTTTCTCATCTAAATGATGCATGCTTTCATTTGTCACGTATCCTTCAAAATTGTCTCAATAGCTTCACGTCGTTGTTTCTTCTCGGAATAATATGCCTATGATCTACCTCAGAAGCCGATTCTGTTGGTTGGTTGGAGGGACTTACGGGCTAACGTAAGGCTTTGCGTGAGGCCTTTCCCTCATCCCCGGGGGATTACTTAAAGAATTTGGGGGTTGCATGGCAGCCTTTGCCCACGATGCCGATTTTCCTCTTCGCCGTGCCACCTGCAGCGATGCGAACCGCTCTCCAACCCCTCCGAACCCAAACCCTGAAGTCGTAATTAAACCCGCACTAAAGCGAAAGCCTAAAACCCTAAACCATAAACCCTAAACCCTAAACCCTAACACACAAGCCCCAAAACCGTGGAAGACTAGCCCGGCCCTTGGGGGGTGTGGATAGGGGCGCCTCGTGAACCTTCCGAGGCTCAGGGTTCAGGGATTTAGGGTTCGGGGTTTAGGGTTTAGGGTTTAGGGTTTAGGGTTTAGGGTTTCAAGTCTTCTAGTTAGCCTATCAAGAACAGAAGCAAGACTATAGCAAACCCCAAATAGTTGGAAGCCGGATTAAGGACACAAAGCGCTGGGATTTCCTCTATGCTACTCTCTTATGGATTGAGGCTACTGGGTTTCCAACTTTTGGGCTTCTACTGTAGCATATAAGAGGTAGAAAACGCACAGCCAGGGCGACTACGACCAGCCCGACCGTTGAAGATACTGGCAATGGCAACATAACTGAACAGACGAGTATGACCGATGTATGTGGTTAACGGCTAGTTCTCGATATTGAGGTCCCTTTTTCGGTGCCCAACATGGTACGGCACAGTTATAATAAGGGACCCTGAAAGGGACCTGAGCCTAATTTAGAGAACTGCCCATGTAGCAGTGAGAAAACCATGTTTCGGAGATCCACGTAGATCCGAGGCTAGGGCTCTAACACAGAAGGTTTAGAATTCCACTGTCAAGCTCGTTCGGGGAATTTTAGAACCTGGACGCGGAGTCACCATTTCTTCGGGATTTATAACCCTAAACCCTAAACCCTAAACCCTAAACCCTAAACCCTAAACCCTCTATAGGGTCTAGGGTTCAGGGTTTAGGGGAAAGTCCCGGTTCTCCGAAGCGAAGCTACTTGAGCCTGGGGTCTTCACGCTTCACAGGGCTTCAGCGGGGGGTTGAGCCCAGAGACTCCAATGCCCCTTAATTAAGGAATATACCTTAAATCTTATTAGGGATCCTACTATAATTTAATGTATATTCCTTAATTAAGGGATGCTGGAGTCTCTGGGAGAAAGGCTTCGAAGCTCTCTTGGCCTTGAACATGAGAGGCAGGCCCGAAATCCTACGAAAGCCCGGACATCCAGACCTCTAACAGGATACATCTCTTGTAATATAAGGGCCTTTATAATAAGTAGCATAGGGTTTTGGGGGTTCCGAATTATACTCATGGTATAGTATACCCCAAGCCCTGTTCTAATTATTACGGCCCATATATATCTATCGTATCTGTTGCAAGGCTTAGCCCCAAACCATAAACTCTAAGCCCCAAACCCCAAACCCTAAACCCTAAACCCCCAAATCCTTAAACGCTAAACCCTAAACCCGAGACCCCAGACGCTAGAGGCATCCCGGGCTCAGGGTTTGTGGCTCGGGGTGTGAGGTTTGACGTATGGGGATAAGGGCTCGGCTGTTTGGGATTGGACGTGGCTTTAGGCTTTAGGGTTTACGGGTTTAGGTTTAGGGGTTTAGGGTGTAGGGTTTAGGGATTTAGAGGTGACGGTGTAGTGGCTTAGGGTTTAGAGTTTAGGGGTTTAGGGGAGAGATGAGATCAGCAGAACTATCAGCAGAGCTCCTGAACCCCCTTACTGGGTGCCCTCAATGCTTAATTAGTGGTGATGCTTCTGCATGAACTACCCTTCTGCATTGAAGGCACGAAATGTAAGCAGCGATTCTAATATTACACTGCAGCATCCGAAAATAACATAAAATACTTGAAAGAACCCGCGCTGATAACTGACGGAGCTTGTAAAACACTTTCATGTATGCCTGAACCCTCAGGACCCAAGCCGAGAGGCCCGAACTCGCACCCTTAATCCAGTCGAAGAGGCTTTAACAATTCGAAGAGGTTTTGGGGCATATTATGGGTTTAGGGTTTAGGGTTTAGGGTTAATATTGGTGTATACATCATATGAGTCATATCGGTGATGATATTACGCTCCTACCCCTACAGAGCCCGAAATCCCGCCTGGCGAGTAGGTGAGATGGATCAGCCGCGCACCGAGGTTCGATGCCTTGCTGACCGCCAGGAAGGAGCCCATACCAAGCTTCTCGCACTCCTCGCTTAGGATTCCTACAAGGGGTCTCCTAAACCCTAAACCCTAAAGCCTAAATCTATAAGAGTTATCATAAGGGCGGATTTCGGGCTTTAGGGTTTAAGGTGAATGTGAGGTTTAGGGTTTAGGAATTAGGGCTTGGGGTTTGGAGTTCAAGGTCAGGCCAAGGGCTCAGAATTTAGCACCGTAGGGTTTAGGATTTAGGGTTTAGGGCTTAGGACATATCGGTTTAGGGCTTTCTGGGTTTTTTGGTGGCTTTGGAAGTCTAAGCTTTCAGAATTGAGGGGTTGAGTCCCGAGGTTGAGGGTTTTTATAGCGTTTTATGTGAAGGTTTGGGGACTGCGGGCGATGTGGCAGCTTGCGATCCTTACGGTTTACAGCGGTGCGAAGTGCTTTGGACCAGCAACCAGAAAGGACGGAGCGGATCGAAGCAGCAGGCGGCACGGAAGATGGTGAAATGAAGCCGCTGAACACAACTAACATAGTTAGTCGCCATCTTGAAGTCAGTGCTGGTAAGAGCACCTGCACCATCACCTCCTCGGGCACGCTTCCTCGGTGCTCCTCCGACATGTTCGATTACAGGCGCACTTGTGTCTGCGTTTGCGGCTTCTTCTTGCGAAACCTCTTCTTCGGAACTGGTGAGCATTCCGAGAATCGAAGAGACCATTGACCACGACTGATCGTGGAGGGGGACATTCTGCGTGTTGAAGATCATGTCCTTCACTGCTCCGAACGGCATGTTGTTGTCGACCTCGATGATCGATGTTCCCCAAAGGGACTTCGTGAGGATCGAGGTAGTCCCTTCATAGGTCACTGCTCCAAAAAGGCAAGCTCCAGCCCCAGAGTAATGTAGTGGCCTTAATAATTAGAATGGAATTTTGGGGTATATTATATTATATAAATATAATAAGGAACCCCAAAAATAGTATAGGTAATTATGAAGGCCCCTATAGTAGGGCTCGGGGACGAACAAGAAGGATGCAGCCCAGACCCAAGAGACCCAAGATACAGAAACCCGGCATAACACCTAAGTTCTCAAACCCACAACCCTACAAGCTCAAAACTAAAAAGCCCAAGAACCTTGCAACATCCAAAAAATCCCTAATTAAACCTTTACAGACCCTGAAACAAGCCCTAAAGCCTTACAACCCCACAGCAACCCTGCACAGAGGCAAAACCCTACACCCCCTAAGCTGTAAACCCTAAGCCCAAGCAAAAGACACATGCACGACCTGCGCGAAGCTGGAAAACTACAACCTACCTGACAGATACAATGCTTGTAAGTTTACCTAAAACCCCTAAACCCCTAAACCCCCAAAACCCCTGAAACCTAAACCCCTAAACCCCTAAACCCCCAAAGCACCAAACCCCAAAACCCAAACCCTATGGTACCCTTGAAGGAACCCCTTAAAGGAACCCCCAGACCCCTACTAACCCTAAACCCTAAACCCGAAACCCTAAACCCCTAAACCCCCAAACCCCTAAACCCCTAAACCCTGAACGCTAAACCCCCTAAACCCCTAAACCCCCAGAGCACCAAACCCCAAAACCCTAAACCCTATAGTACCCTTGTAGGAACCCCTTAAAGGAACCCCCAGACCCCTACTAACCCTAAACCCTAAACCCCTAAACCCCTAAACCCCTAAACCCCTAAACCCTGAACGCTAAACCCGAAACCCTAAACCCTAAACCCTCAAACCCTAAACCCTAAACCCTAAACCCTAATAACCCTAATAACCCCTAAACCCCTAAACCCCTAAACCCCTAAACCCTAAAACCCTAAACCCAAA